TGCAGAGTGCTGACAGTCCCTCTCGTTCATAACTTCGTCGTTTTTGATTGATCTTACAGTGTGAGGATAACTACATTCGTGTGATCCAAGAGCTACCGAACGGAAATCTGCTCGAGTGCGGTACCAATAATGCCAATCCCTACTGCCAACAGAGGTCAACTCAAAATGTAAGGGCAACACTGCCATGGATCTCTCTTAAATGGGGCAAATACCAACGATTCGATTGAAGGACACATAAGCTCACTTAACCGGGAAACTAAAATAAAAGTATCACTTCATCAACAACTGTGAATAGCAACGCTTGCAGTCATTATTCTGGTAGCGACAAAATGTGAAATTTACACCTAAACAATTGAATTGTAGAGTTTTGGAGGTTAATTTTTTGACAAATCTCACCCGTTCTCCAGATTATTGATTATTATGATTATTAACAAGCATAAATACATCTACGACTCTTGTCAATTCATCTGTCGTTGTAAACATGGCCAAGCACTGTCTGGTATCTTATTTCTTTTATGTAGGTCGAAAATTGCCTCTCTTAACACTCACTTTTTGGCGTAAGTTAATCACAGAGACCTTATTTTATTATCAGAATAATTTTTGTAAAACCTTTTTCAGTTATCGTCAATCGGACCCATGACCTCAATAGACCGAGCAGCTAGTATCGTGCCCTTTATCTGGAACCAGAATTCTACTGGCTGGTTACTCACCGACGGTAACAAACCACAAAGGCTTTATGTGACTTCTCTGAGAAGCTGGCTTATAGTAACAATATGTTCTGTGCTGTATCTGGAGCAGGCTTTGACTTTGAACCCTGCAATCGTCGAATCTACTTGGAGTGTTACTTTCACTTGTTAATTGTTTACTGTTTTTCTTTTTTGTTACTTAAATATTGTTTAGACATTTTCTCGATTGAACCTTACGTGGAAAATGAAATTTATAAAGATTATCATAAAATAATTTGATCCGACGTGATACTTTGCTTTAATAGATTCATTCAGATCTGGTCAGAAAATAAACATTATCCGTGTTATCTAATTTCCGTTTCAAAAATGCTATTGACAAATTGCTAAGAAAGCGGTTTCATCCAGATCCTGGGTCTTGGTTATTATATATTCTGTTTCTTCAACGTGGTTTAAATGGAAGGGATAAAAAAGATAAAAAAGACACTCAATTAACTGTCTCTCCTTTCTCGTTGAAAGACGCATATTGGAAATGATAGACAACTATTCTTGGTATGAGTTAATTAATTTCAAATTCGCATACGTTGTTTACATACAGATCTTAAAATATTGGTTGGAGCTGAGTTGCAGCTAATAGCTGCTGCTCCAGGAAGACCGGCAATCTCCAAGTCAGTGCTACGGCTGGATTCATCTCAGAATTTGATGAGCATAAGTGTGGCTCTATCGACTAAGGATGAACTCACTGTTTTATATGCAAATGGTAACCTCCTGAGAAAAATGAAAGAATTTAGAAAAAAGTACAAACACAATAACAATTCATATCCCGCATTTCCAGCGTTATTTCTTCAAGTTATTTAGGGAGGATGTGCTGGTCTGTCTCCGATAAAGTATTGGCGGTAGGCCGCACATTTTCAAGATATGTCGTCCTTTCATAGCATGGGTCTTTAAATACACTCTGATAAATGCACAACAGAAGCTAGTAAAGCAAGAGAATTTATTTCTCGTGGTAAATTGACAATCATACAATTCATTCAACTGTTGATATTAGCTTTATTGAAGAGGTTTTTTTGTCAACAGGTCCGCCAAATCAGCAGTTTGTTGGGGACCCTATCAGCTATAATGGACGGATCTATTTCTTTTTCCGCGAAGTGGCCGCCGAGTTTGTCGTTGATAGAGCTATTTATTCAAGAGTCGCTGTCATATGCGAGGTATATAGGATTAGCATTTGCAGTTTTATTAGGATCTCCTCGCCCCTACTTTCTCCCCCCTTCCTTTTCTTCTTATCCTTTGTCATTCATGTAACGGGGAATATTCTTTATGCTTTTCAAACAGGATGATTCAGGAGGTAAAGAATTCAATGAACGATATAGCAACAAAGACCTCGTGACTTTTGTAAAGGCGCGGTTGGAATGTTCCACAGGCACATCATTTCCATTCCACTACAATGAAATACGTAAGTCTTTACAATATGCCTCATTAAGGGTTTGCCTTACCAAGGAAAAGTCATCCTTTACCCTTGGCTTGAACCATCTCTCAGTTATGCTTGTGTGACGTCATTGTTCCTTTCGAACGAGAACCGAAGGTTAGAGTTTGTTCAGCGCTGGTTCAAAATGGCGAAAAATTCTATACTTTTTGTTTCCTATAATTCAATTACCCTTTCACATTTTTTTGGTTACATACAGTGAATCGAAAAAGGTATTCTCTTTCAAAATGATGAAAAAGAGAGCAGTACTGTTAAGAAATATGCCAAATAAGGAGTGAAAATGACGTTCATTGCTTCTTTGCACTTTGGTTCTGCTGTCTCAGGTTCTTTGCTTGTGGCCCGCCAACATGTTCCTGATTATTGCTTTGAGGTCACAAACATGTTTCTGTTTAGGGTTTGCCAGAACATGCCCAAGATTCAAGTAAAAATGCTTGAATGAAATGGAATACGTATGACAAGCTCTGCCAATGCATTCCTGTATTAATTAATCCAGATGCAGCCGTCGTTGCTGTACACATCGGCATTTCATTAGACTTATGATCAATTAGCCTTTGAAACGGATTATAATACCCATTAGTAAAATATATGGGGAGGGGAGGGTACGGGGCACGTGACCCCCAGCAGTCGCCCAGGCTCCCTGGTGCCCCCATGTGCACCCATTTGAAATCTATGAACAATGCAGCTACAGTTTATTTTATTGTGGTACCACTGTAACATATTATGATAATTTCTCCTTGTTTGCATCGACAGAGGATATTTACTACTCCAATGACTCCAAAGTTGTGTTTGCAGTTTTTGCTACACAGCCGTAAGTAAATAGTGACATTTCATAACATAGTTCCTTGTAGTTTTCCACGACTAACAATTATTGATGCAAGAAAAACAAATAAAAGGGGATAATAACTTAATCAACATTTGTGTTTATTTTGTCTGAATGATGAGTTTTTAGCCATACTTGTGCCAAGGAAAGAAGGGGAAATTTTGTCAAGGGAACAACCAACGGTGGTTAATAATTTTCCTTAAATAATTATTTGGAGCAATGATCGGTTGCGTTAAGTAATGCAAATACCTGTAAAAGAATAATAAAACCAACATACCATAACCACAACTTGCATAATGATGTTCAGGAAAATGTTATTCATCCGAACTTAACAGACCTCTGCACTAATAAAGTCATGATTATGCAGGTATAAGCTTGAATTTCGTTGGCAGCAATAAGCCGATCATTGAAAACGCACATTGATGATCAGTTTTTTGGTCAAGTATTCTGTCTTTGTTCAGAGTTTTCTTCAGAAAATTCGATTAAATCGTTTTTGTCATTAGTCTCTAATTCAATCGGGATTTTTAGTGCTTTGTAAAAGGACTTTACAGTCATGATTTTTCCTGTGTGCACGAGCTTGCCGTATCTAAGCCGGTCTCTTTTCGTGCTGTTTTATAGCGCATGCATACATAATCATGAATTTATTAGTGAAAAAATTTATAGGTCAATGTACTGACGACGACACACTTTGTTACCTGCACAAATAGCGGCCAGTAAGGCCCAAAGTCCACTGAACTTAAACACGCACATAAACAATGTGTGACGTCATTGGTACAACATCCTAGAAGTATGCACACAGTACTCAGGATTTCAGTGATTGCTTTCACTAAATTAAGAACAGCCAACTTTGAAACAGTACATTATGCTGCAATACGTTCACACCAAGCAGTGTTCAGCAGTCGATCAAGTTTTTTTTTAAGGAGGACATGAATGAATGAAATTGGCTCTCTCTGGACAGGGGTTCATGGCCTCACTTGAAAAAAGTAAACATCCCCCAGCATCAATTGTGACCTGTAGTCCAAACATGAGTGAAAATTCACTTCATTTTTGAGTGCAAGCCCCGATAAGACATCGATGGCTCTTATAAAACTCCCCACTGGTGCAACCAATTCCACCCCTATCGTTGTTCAACCCAACATCGTCTTTGTTCAGTTGATCAGAACTTCAGATTTTGCCTTCCTTTCTCTTGAATATTTTGAACCCCAAAATCGTAGACCTGAAGTGGCAAGTTCTGCAGTCTGTGCCTACCGTTTGGATGAAATCGAGGCTCTGTTTCTCAGTACGAGTAAATTCAGGGCGCAGTTTAGTGATGGCGAACTCTGGAGGGAGGTAGACACAGACCCTGTGACTTCAAGACCTGCACAGGTAGATGTAGGTCCTTAAGGACTGCTGATATCTTCTTTTTGGCAGAACAGTCTGGAAGGCATGTACAAACCAGGAATTCCCAAGCTTTCAGATAACCAAAGTAAACTATGAGTACCATTCTGAATGAACAGTGGTCTCCCTGTTACGTTGACTGTAGCAAAGCATTGGAGGGGTTGTTAATGTTACATAGTGTGTCTTTCAAAACACCACAAGAACTTTCTGTTGTCTGTTAACCAGCCCAGCCCGACCTTACCCACCCAACTCCATCACTAGCCCCAACCCCAACCACATCCACAAACCAGCTCTAGCCCACCCAGCCAAGACCCACTCCTGCCCCGCGCCTTGTTAACATCCTTATGCTTCTGCGTTCATATTTTGGCTCATGTTTTTGTTTGATGTAATTTTCTCTTTTATTTTGTAAAATACGGTTTTGTGCTGCTTCACAGATTTGAATTTATTTATTTGGACAATTGTATTCAGTGCCCAGATACTACCAGTTATACCGATGCCCAGTACTCAGACATACTTGGTAAGATGCAGCTTATGTTTGATACAGCTGCCAACAAGCTTCACTATGAGAGCCTAGGTGGCGCTAGAAGCAACCCGCTGCTCATGATAGACGGAGAACGTTTCACACAGATCGTTGTGGATGAAAATGTCACCCACAACACGGATGTTATGTTTATTGGTACAGGTGAGTGCGATCAGTTGTTAGCAGTTGTGCAGAGCAGGGCAAATCGATGTCGACACAGAAACATTATGAATTTATAATCAACCATTAATTACTCCCTGGCTAATGAAAGCTTTCGTATTCCTCTTTAAACATCATGAGTCAATGCTTATTCTTCTCCCGTAATTTTAAGCCAGATCCAGCCATCCCACAACGAGTGTTTATTCAAACATACATGTACGTTGTACACATTATAATTAATGCCACGACGACGGAAGACGGCTTCCAGAACTTTGGTTTTTTTTTTAAACTTAGGTCACGTTGAATAGAACTACATTACGGGGCAGCTATCTTGTTCTACCATTTAAGCAGTGTACCTAAACTGAGGCTGGAAGAAAAGTGGTCTGTTTCCTAGTCTCAAAATATGTAAATTTCCATTGGTTTTGTAATTTGACTCACAAGGGCAAAACAAATATGACATGATCATGATAAAGGTTTTTCCTGGTCACATCTTATGTAAGTTCCAAAAATAATGAGTGCAGAGATAATCTTCTGTTTAAAATCCGATCTTTTCGTTGGCTGACTTTTCAACAGAAAAAGGGACGGTTTTGAAGGCTTACCTGAAAGACGACCGATCAGAAGCCAAAGTCGTGGAGGAGATTATATTGAAACCACACAGACTAGTAAGGCTAGCTATTCTGTTTTTTTTCTTTAAACCACATGCAGATTATACAGTCCCCATAATTTTGTTTTAATTCCAACCACCACCTCGGTCCATCCAAGTATGGATGCGGAGAACTGCAATTGTAGTTGTCTAGCCAGATGCATTGTTGCCTTCCACACATGAAATCTGCATGAACAACGAACTGCATTTCAGACAAAAGGCTCTCGATCTTGAAAAAATGAAATGATGGATACAGACAATTCATCAGTCTTACAGACAGTATCACCGATGACTAAAATGAGGGGAATTCGACGAAAGTGTAAAAACCAGGCACTAAGTGGGGTGAAAAATACAGATAATGACGAAAATGGGTCCCAATGAAAAACAAAGTGAATTTCAAAAAAGTTTTTCTCCTAGAAGTAATAAACTTTTTTTGTTCATAAGAGTTACTAGTCGTTCATGTGGCATCAAAGTTATTTGAAGGCAAACCCGGCAAAATTGTGAAAATTAGACACAAAGTTAGGCAAAATACCTATATAATCTTTTCATAGTTATTCTCTGTCGTTAATTGACAGTTTCCTCGTCTTGATTATTGTTCAGAGATATTTCTAACAAAAAGCTATTAAAATATCACTATTTGATAGATTCTTGGCAATTTATTTACACACAAGGTCTTCAAGGGAAATGGTGGTACAAATCCTTTAAATGGGTCATCACCAATAGAACGGACAAACTAAATGCACGCACAGTCTACTGGGACTGAACATACGTGTGCTCTCCGTAAAAAGATAACACAAAATGAGCCACAAGATCATTTCTTGAACGTAATTTTGTAGTAGTTCAAAGAACAGGCTGAGCTCCATTATTGTGACGCATTACTCAGTTTGATATCCTCAAGAAAATTTACTCTGCACCAGATGCTTTCGAAGGTATTTCCTTCAAAAGTGGCTCCGGCGATATTCAACTAATTTTTTTCGGCTGGATCTTGCAGTTGAAGATTTTACTTCATGTGGTTTTCTCGGTAGACCCCCGTATTGACCATGCTGAAGAGCTTTGCTGAGCAATCAGTGTTTGTTGGAACCGACGAAGGTGTTTACAAAGTTCCATTCCAGCATTGCAGAGACTATGCATCGCTCCAGAGCTGTGTGGATGCTCAAGATCCGTACTGCAGCTGGGAGAATGGAACGTGTTTGTATTCAAGGGAAGGTTGAGTTTAATAAGGGTGTCAAGCCGTTGAAAGGTGTCTCGGTGATTGCTTAATCTTCAACATTTGTAATAAGGCAGTATATTTAATATAACTGCTTAGCAAACCAAAATTTAATATCCGAAGAATGCAATCATCACAATGCCATGATCTTCAAGTCTTGACTTTTCAGGTGCTCGTACAATATGGGCCCGTTCGTCTTTTTTTCTCATGGATAATAGCGAGCACAATGCCTGAGTTGACTCGACTTGATAATTATGACAACTGTTGATCAAAAGCATTGTGATTTGATGCTGAAATTTATTTTGTCTTTCTGACTCGGATGGTATTTATGAAAAGTGGAGAACATATTTCCTAAATTAGATAATTAGTTCATATCTTTTAGCAAGTCCTTAGTACTGAATGAACCATGAAGAGTTTGCTTGATCCAGAAAACGATTTTACAATTGTGACCCTTTGATTGCTACTTCATTCAGACAACGAAACATTGCATTGTATTTCATGTATTTCATTCAAAACAAGTCGCATTTTCACTTTGTTTTGTCTGTAGATTTCCGGATATCTGCCCCCCAACACCGTGCAACGGTAATTACCCAATGTTTTAATGTTTTGTGCTTTCATAGTAAAACTGTTTCTCCACCCTGAGCCTCTAGGCTGTCTGAAAGGTTGATAGAAAGTTGGAGCAGAGGCTGGTGGGTTATCCCATGAATGCTAATGGGTCGACGAGAAAGGCTCCTGAAATGATCTGCAACGTCAAGGAGAAGAGTTACAGGCTGGCTGACGAAAGCTTTCAGTTTGGTGCACAAAAGCTAGCACGAATTGCTTGCACGTAGACTTGAAGATTGTTAAGATGGCCAAGGTGTTTCCTCCTTCATTCAGCCACTATATTACATATTGGAACATACCGAGATAATGAGAATAATGATTGTGAATGAAAAGGATGTTCTGAGACTGTTTACTTTGTAAACAGCAAAGAGTTTTTCAAATACTTTTCAATAAATTCGAAATTGCCTTAAGCACGAAGATGTTGTCATTTCGATAATAGACCGTTTCTGTTTTATCAGAAAGTAGAATCATCATCCACAATTGTCCAAGTTCGCAAGTCAGCTATATTCGACACCTGCATTTCTCCAACCATCCCTTACACCTGTACGTAACGGCTGAAGCTGCCAGGAAGGACAATCTTAGTATTGTGGACAATGAAATCACTTGCCATCCGTGTGCCAGTTTGCCGTACACCGAAAGCAGATCCGTCAGTACGTGCAGGGAGTTTCTGGCCTTGCACATTAACGGATCATCCACGGAGCGCGAGAACTGTTCGTGTTCTCTGGTCCTGGAGATAGAATGCGGCGCGACCAAGACAATCAATTTCAACATCACTGTGGATGACTCCGGTAAATTTGAAAAGTATCACTGTCTTTGTATGTAAAGCGTGGTAAATCAAACTTTCCTCAAAATGATTTTGGCAGAATACAGCCAATTTCAGTTGACCAACACGGGTGGTACTGCAGATTAAATTTCCTAAAACTCTATCACCTACGTGTGCTAAACTGTATCCACCTTTCCAGAATGTTAAAACAATTCTCAAATGAGTAAATCATTGGTGTATTTCTCAGCAATTAAGTTGATTGATTTGCGGGTGGCGTTTTGGACAGATGAAGAGTAATACACACTTTTTTCTACTCCTCAAAGTATTAATTGATTGTTTTCTTACAGATCCTGTCTTGGACACAGAGTGCCTTGAAGATGTTGCGGATTTTGATTGCGAAATTTCGCGCTATAAATTTCAGTTCGACAAGTGGATCTGTAATCAGGTATGTCTGTATCTCAAATGAGAACGTCGGTAGAAGGCGTTATACTGAGGGGGTATATGCCAGGATGTGCTTGATACCAATTCGAAGGGTCAAACTGAATAAATCGAACTGGATATTCACTTGCTTGGCAACCATTATTCATCAGGCTGCCATCTATGGCAACACTATTCTGGGTAGACACATCAATAGATCTCAGGATCCATATTCACACAGAAATTCTGGATTTGAGGAACTATTGCATTGTACCAAGTCACAGCATGTAGCTTATTGGTCAAAGGGGTATTGACCGGATGCCTTCCTATTTCTACCGGTTTCTAATTCTGACCGTCCTGATCAGACATTTCCATCATCTCATTTGTCTATGAGGGATACGATTATCTGTCTCTAATAGATATTAATTTGTCTACAGAAAAGGATGCAAAGAAAAAAAATAAACCCCCCAAGACGAGTATAGGTAGTGCGGTCATTTCAGGTCGTAGTTTTTCTTACTACGTGGTATGACTTAAATAGGCTGTAAACGACCACCTACAAAATGAAACGTAAAGCACAAGCCCTGGTAGTGTGGTAGAAACGTTCTTGTTGAATTGGGGTCCGAAAGAAATTTAATCTGAAACATGGATCTTTGACGTTTTTTACAGGCTAAGTCTTGTGGCTTAGAGGAGCTTCATTCTTGCAAAAAATGTCCTTGAACTCCAAGGCAATGATGTAATTTTTACCACCGACTGATGCTTGAGCTAAACAAGGTTTTGCGCCTTCCTGACTTATCAGCAGCCACATTTGTTGTACTGAGAAATCTGTGATAAGAATCCTCAAGGTAGATTTTGTATATTTTTGATATATTCTGTTGCTTAATATAAAACAAGTATCTTGTCCTTATGATGTGACCCTTATTAATTAATTAATGGTAGCATTGCAGCTTTCTCACGTAGAGGAATTATTTTGTAACTGTCCATCCAATATAGTTGAAAACCTTTGAGATATAAATTTGACTACGTATCATTTCCAAAAATTTGTACATTTCATTTTAACTAATGTAACTCGTCAGTAGAAGGTCTTGTAGGTTACATGTTGTTCGCATTCATATACTTTATTTGGTAATGCTGCTTTTAATGACATAAAACAGGATTTTTGGATTGTTACAATGAGTACGTATGGTGGAACCCATCGTGACATTGACTGTTACATTTGATGACACAAAGACTATGTTGACAAAAATGCCCCCTTTATCAGTTCTTAGGCTCGCCATACACGTAGATTAACTTTCCGAGGAGTTTCCTTAATATTGTTATTGATTTTTTGTTGATACATTCTGGTTGGTCGTTGACCGTCACCAGTTTTAATCAGCAAGCGTCATTTGTTTTGTATGCTAATCGAACAAGGTTTGTTGAAATCAAGATGGCAACCCACTAATCGTCTTAAGTCGAGATGGGGGGATTTTCTCATTCGAGTATTGGAACTTAGAATTAAAAAGAGTACTTATTTTTCATTGGTTTAAATTATCACTCTAAGATTGTCATCCAAAAATGTGGGCGTTTAAATTTATTTCACAGATTTCTTGACTATGATTAGGTAGTGCCAGGTTTTTTGGCTGGATGGAAAGGTTGGGTCTTTATGATGAGTTTTGTACTTTATTGACTCTCAATCGCGAAAAAAATTCATTCAAAAAAAATTGTAAAAATGAACTCGAGAAATGTATCTCGTAAAAACACAGATATATTTTGAAAATCCCTTTATATTTTGGAAAAATCGTTATCACAGACCTTTTTTCTCAATCCTTAATGGAATATATTTTTTCCACTTATTAATAAAGAGATATACTTTTCAATTACGTTTTTATGAGATAGTGAAACAAACTTGAAAATATACATCTCATAAAAACGAACTTCGACAAAATATACTATACTGTTTTAAATAGGTATATAATGCCTCTATTGGAATCATAGTTAAAAATTAATGCCTTTGTACATTTTATTCCTTTTCAGCTTGTGGTGGTGGCTTAATTATTAACCGTGTATACTGTACTATTTGTCAAAACAGGAGACGCGTAAATTAAGCTAGTTAATTATAGACAGTTTCAGTCATTTGAGTAGTGTGATTTAGTTTGTCTTGTCGACTGCCTCTGTTGTATTGCTGATATTGATATTAGTTAGTTCAGCTTGTGGAACCGTAAGCCCTCTTTAGTTTTATGGAACAAACATAAGTTGTCTATAAGTGCAGAAATCAATTGTAATTGGAGTAAATTTGATAAACGTATTCGTCAAAGGACTTGGAGGACACTTGTGGAACCACTGTATGGGTGCACTTAGTGGAGCTGGTATTGTGAAGATGCCTGATCTTGTTCGTTCAAGGACACGTCTATAACCACTTATTTTTTGAATTGTTTACAATAATACATTTTCCGGGATTATTTTAGATGCTGTAGATTATAGCCTAGGGCTCTTAAAGAAGAAAAGCCACATTTAAGAGGCTGTGGAATAGCCTCTATGATGCCAAATGAAAAGAGGCTTAGGTATTGCCCGGTTTTATTTAAGAGGCTGTGGAGTGTTGTTTAAACAAGAGAGGTATACATTTTTGTGGTGTGGTTTAAGACGCTGTGGATTAGCCCAGTGTTGTTTTAAATAACAAAGATTTAGGTATCACCCGGTGTAAATTAAGACATTGTCGATAATTCTTGTGTTATTAAATTTAAAGTGTTACCAATACAACCTGGTGTCAATTAATTATACGCTAAAAAA